TGATGTCGCTAGCATCGCACCCACAGATATAGTAAGTACAGACTGCTGTCGCAGATTTAAAAATCGTGGTGGGCATATACAAAAGTTAGAAAAAAAACCAGTCTGCTTAGACCAGTACTTCTCTCGTCTGACGTTTCAACCACTCGACCACTTCGTCCTTCAGCTTCTTCTTCTCTTCTCGTCTTCTTTTTATTGTCCACAGCACAGTAAGACAAAGAGAAGACTACAGGTCTAATCCGTCTTTTTCTAATTCCGGTGTACTCCACTCATTTCCAGAGCGGTCTATTCTTCCTATATCTATGAGTTTATCGCATGTCTTTGTTGACATTCATGGACAACATGACTAATATTTAATTGGTTGCAGTGTTTTCTAGCTAAATTAGCTAACGATTTTCAATTTTCTTTCCGTCTAGTCAAGGACAAACGATAATAATGAGCTTACATTCCATATCAGGTTATTTATTTTATGTATAACTAATAAATACATTGTTCTACCTTACCTAGCTTCAGTTATAATACTTATAATCATTGAATATCAACAAAACACGTTTTATGCATATAAATTGTATTTATTTGTTATAAAATTCTGTATTTTTGTAGACTACCTGGATGACCTAACGATGTCGAGACGGAGGGGCCCGAAGAACGACGGATACTACTCCAAGTTACCCACCTCCGACCAGGGCTTTACCGACGCCCAGTTCCTCGTGCCCGCCCAGAAGATACCGTGGAAGGCCATAATACTGGCTACGATGCTGCTCATCGCCGGAACTAGCCTGCTAGTCTTCGGTTTCATGGTGGTGATGGGGCACATCTCGATACAGTACGCTGGCAGGATGTGGCCCATGATCATACTGGGCGCGCTGATGTTCATCCCCGGCGCGTACCACATAAGAATCGCCTACTATGCCTACAAGGAGGTGCCCGGGTACTCGTTCGACGATATACCAGAATTCGAGTAGGGAAGGCGGTCGCCTCCGTCTAGTTTAGCCACGCTGTGATATGTGGAGCTTGTACGAAGTGTTTTTAGGTTCTTTTTTTGACGTATGAAGATGATACGGGTACTTCTAGAACCATACTGTACGGTGGTCGTCTGTAAGGTGATTTTTTGAACGTAGGGTAAAAAAAAGTGCAATCAATGTACACGCAGGGAAATTCTGCAGTTATCTACACTTCTATTATAGTTTTGCGATTGTTTCACTTGGATTTTAACGTTAAGTATTTATTTTTATATTTATAATGTGACTAAAATATATTTATAAGAACTTTTCATCATTTTTTTCTGTCCTACATATGTTACAGTGTTTTTAGATTGTTTACTACTGTATCCCAAGGGCCCAGCTCGCTCCTCGTGTCTTTTTGGCCTTTCTATACAGTATACAGTCTATAACGAGCCAAAAAACAAACGTCATCAAAGTCGGCCGAGCAAAAAAAGACGTATTTCTATTCTTAATCGAATTTATACCTTATTTACTTGTCAAGACTGTCGCATCATATGACAGCCAGTTTATTTTACAGTTGTGACAGTCACTTGTCAAAAGTTTGACAACAAACTTTTGCGTCGAGCTTCGACATGACCGTTACTTCCATCTCTCTCTCGTTCATAGCCGGACTTGACGTTTTGTATATGTTTTTAGCGCATATCATTTCCATATGGAAATTATATCGCCCGATCTGTTCACATTTTATTCAAACGGCCACTTAACTCAAACACGTAATACTTATAAGGTACGAAAAATAATTTACATTTCCCTTTGACCCTCGAATATTCAGACGTCATTAGGCCGGTTTAGTTATTCATTATTCTTTGAAGCGCGTCCACTGAAAATAGTTGAGTTAAGTGAATGACTTCCCAACGTATGTTCGTTTTATAAATCGTCAATATTTAAATTTGAGGTAGTTAGGATATTTTAAAACGAACTATAAAACGTTTATTTATATAATTTGCTGTTTCTTTTACCTAAAATATCAGTAAATTTCATTAAATCTCACCTATTCTGCCAATCACAAATGATATTTACTGAAATGGGTGAAAGAAACGCAGCAATTATTACGTCACGATTTAATCCCTCCAACGCGTTTCGATTTTGTTTTAAAGAACCAGTCTTGACTTTTCACAGCTTTGAAATATGTTGTCCGCGATCGTCGGTTTCGGTTTTTGACTATTTAATAGAAATTATTGTGTTTTGTCAGTGATGGAACCTAAATCCATTAAAACTAGCAGTGAAAACTCGCCTGAAGTAAAGTGTACAGTGCTTGAGAAATTCTTCGCGAAAAAAATGGATGTAAAAAATGTAAGGTTAGTGTTATTTCTGAAATATTTGATATCTTTTTACCACTGGTTATGGTAACGTACCCTACGTACAACTATAAGTAGGACTGCCCATTCAAGGAAGACATTTTTAGTTGGACAACCATTAAGGGCGATTTAGAGGGTTTAAAATGAGGCCATTCGCGGCGTTCGTCTATTTCTTTTTTATCTTATATTTTATCTATCTCATGTGCATAATAAAAGTACAAGCAGACAGTCAAACTTACTGAGTAATGTTCAGTGTAGAATTAGGCATGTTTTAGTTTGTTTTATTCAACACAAAAAAATTATAAACGTATTTTGAAGAAAGTTATTAGGTCAAGGCAGCAATCGAAAATAATGTCCACTTTTTGCCGATACAAAATGTCAAAACGTAAGTAAATGAAAAGAATTCGAATATCCACCGTCGCCGATAGAATATCGTGTTGTTAGTCACGAATGCGCATGCGGAAATCGTGACGTCACACCTTTGGCGGGCTCTACATTTTTCAAATTTTGAATTGTCCGAATCGCTTTACCAAAATATTCGTAGAGACGATATCTTCGCGCCTTGTAAACTTTGTAAAGGAAGAACGTGAGACAAGCCTGTTTCAACCTTATAGTGACCAATTAGACGCCTGGAAGTTCGAAGGGTGGGGGTGACAGAGGGTCGTGCGTCGCAATACGCGATAGCGCGCGCCTTTCGCTGGTTTGGCGTCAGTAGCGTCGCGACGCCTCTCCAGACTGTTTGGCGCTAGCGTTCCCCCAGACAACGCGCACGTCCCCACGTGCCTTGTTCCTGCTCCCGCTCGTTCCCTCATGGACTAGGAACATCCGTGCTCTGAAAACAGGTGGGTCTTGTCTATCGTTTTAGTTTCAAGAGCTTAATGAACACACTTCATTAAGTTCTTGAACTTAAACTTAAAATTTCCATGGTGTTTTGGGGTTTTTCATAATTGGAAATCCTTAAATTCGGTATGGCAAAACTACTTCACTATGGTAAAAAACTGTCGTCAAAAAATATGGCAAAATTCTTCTATACTGAATTAACAGAACTGACACCAGGAGAGCTTTGAAGGTTTCATAAAATTTAATATAAATTATATAGGATACCACTTTGAAAAACCCTATTTATATCATAACGGATTTTATAATAGTTATTCAAATTCATGTCCTAGGATTGTTTACAAAATGTGAAGAGTCGAATTTAACTGTCAGGAATTAAAAAAAGGGAAACATTTTAAAAGAAACTAACAAAAAAATTAAATTTATTCTGTTGAAACTCATAAAGTTCTCCTAGTATCAATTCTATTAATATGTAATGTATGCAATATATTTTTGGTCAGTTTTTTTGGAGTTTTATCTTTTTGTACATTAATATCAGCTTGCAAGAAAAATACCGTGTTGTACAATAGTGAAATCAATGTTTATCGAGTTTGAAAACGTAATAAATATGCCTCAATAAACAATAAATAAATGAAACGCTATATTTATCAAAAAAACTTTAAGTTATGCAAAATGTACATAAATTCATTGAGCTACCCTACACTTTCACTGCTTAAAATATCATGTTTTTTTTTAACAAAATATTTTGATATTACTTTACCTAATCTCTACACATGGAAAAAGCTTTCCATAATTGAATTTCACATTCTTCACGGGTTTGCACAATGAAAAAATCATTATCTAATAAAATTTATTATCTTCTTTAGATTAGACTGTCGTTAAATTTTTACAATTCTGATACGATACCAATGTATGTACAGTCAGAAACAAAAGTAATGATACCTCAACTGTTTGAAGGTTGCTTAAGCTCTGAAAATGTTTGTATTACAGTATCGATTTTTTTTTATTTCTGATAGGATGAGAGATTGTGAAATTCTGCGTTTAATAAGCCCAAGTTGAAGGCGATACGTCGATTGTGTGAAGAGATATCTCTAGAAAAAACAATCCAAAACGACTCAGTTAGTCAGATAGGTACTTTGAAGATTTCTCTCATTAATATGAGTCCAAGAGTTCAATATTTTCGGAGTTATCCACAGTTTTTTAAAAACATTGCAGTTTTACTTTTTTTAACATCTTAACAAACTACAAGAAGCTTCACAAGCTGCAATCCTACCAAAAAAAATCTATACTGCAGTAGAAACATTATCAGAATTTAGGCAACCCTCAAAAAAGTGGGCGTTGGACCTCTGTGGTGGGACACCATGTATAATGGACTGTCGACAACAATGTCTAGAATTACTCGTATCGAGTCGGACACAAACCGTCGCGACAGGTATTGCCTTGTTACCTTCTCCATTGTGTATCGCGTTTGCGAAGCCCTCGACCCCACTTGGACCAGACCTCGTTAAACATCGTCTAGCATTCCGAAATTCGAATCGAATACGTCACTTCGGGTTAGCCAGATAAGAAGGGGAAACCCCGATTAACCGGCCCGGACGTATTACATCTGTTTCTGGAGCTGTAAGGTCCGATTATTACCCGGATATTGTCCTGGGTCCGCATCGGCAATAAATATCGAGGGATATCGGTATCGGGTTATGTTGTTCGCCCCTAGAATCGTGAGTTGTTTGCGGTATCTGATCGTATAGCTTAGCCCGGATATGACATTCAACCGTTTCCTGACATAAATCGCTCTACTCGATGGTAAAAGTTACTGGAGAACAAACTGTTTTGCCGATTTACATAGAGCAAAGAAATAACCGCGGCGATAGCAGCTCAGTGGGTAAAGCGCTAGGTGAGTAGATGGCACCAGAGCTATTATCCGCGCGGGTTCGAATCCTGCCTGTGGCAATTGGTACCTGTCACAGGGTTTGGTTGTGTGTCCTACGTCTTTTCCATGTGTATTCTCCCTCTGCAAAGTTGTAATGACTCTTAGAGGGAGAATGTCAATTTCTGTGGTGATTTATTAAAAAAAAAAAGAAATATTCTAACTTGGAAGTCCGAAACACGATCTCGCATACGGTAGAATCGCCTCGTTGCCGTGGCAACGAAACGTTTGCTCCCACACTTGTTTTTATACAATGATTTTATGTGGATTGTTACGTTGAATAAAACATATACTCTATCGTATGTATTTATTTGCCCCCAGTAAAGCGTTTTCCGTTCTGTTTTCACGAACAGTGCATTTTTCGGATGACAGAGTTGGTTGCAAACGTATCATATTTTAATTCCGGCCGAGAGCACGGACGGCTGACGTTTATCGAATCAATGTTCGAACGGTTCGAATAACAAAAGTGCCACGCTCTGTTATTTTGTCAATTTGAGCGGACAATAGTCGATACTGCGATACAAATTAGCCGTTTTTTGTAATTGCGATAGGATTGTATACGATATGTTCACTATAAAACAGCGTTTATTTTTGTCTAGCCTAGGAAAGATAGAATAGAATTTTCCTTTCCTAGAATAGCCTAGGAGATTTTTAATATACTTTAAAATTTTTAAAACTAGCTTTTGTAAAATTGGACCTATTTTGGCCATCTTTCCTAGACTAAAATGGTTGTTCGGATTACTGATCAGTAGGGTTGGCCGATAGTGCCGTAGTACAGTGGCGCGCGGTGGGCTGGTCATTGACTTCAGTCGTTTCGCCCGATCGTCTGACAGATTCTAACATTATTATTTGCGTGTTCGAGGTGTTTATGTCGTCTGCGTCAGTATTACATTACGTTAATAATAAAACATCACACGTGCACCTTAATAAATTCATCATTCACAAGTGCATTAAAAAATTCAATTAAAAAAATCCAAGTCAAAAGCCACAGATTGGGATGAAAACATATTTGGCGAAAAACGAGCGGATCCGTGACGACGAAAGAGGAATCTTTATCGCTGCAGGCGAGACAAGGCCCAATCGGAAACGCATTTATAAACGTGGACACAAAAGAAAGGAAAAATTTGCCCCCGAAATGAGGTCCTAATTCACTCGGGGACTTTCGCGACGTCGGTGACGAGATAACGTTGGTTTAGGAAGGGGAACATTTCTTTAATACGGATTTATAAACCTTGAAGAAGGCCTAACAGGCTGGTGCGCTCGGTGACGCAGGTCCGGACTAAGGACCTATCCTCACATTTTTTTTTCCCATTTAAAATTTTGAACTGACTTCAGCTGAGTGAAATGATTTTTATGATGCTCTATTACGATTTGTTCAGGAAAAAAAACAATCGACGACGGTTAGTTTATCGTCAGATACAACACGTATATATATAGAAGCAATTCTGGATTATTATTAGTATTTAAATATCTACAAAAAAGTCAGAAAGAATTACTCAAAGGAAATATTAAAATTGAGGTTCAAACAAAAAACGAACCAAATAAAAATATTAAACCATTTGTCACATATTTAATGAGTTTTATAATATATATTCGCCTAGATCCGGCACTGGCCTCTCGTACTCCGACCCGTCGGAGATGCCAAAGAAGAAACGAACTCTTTATGAGCCCTGTGTTCTCTGTGGTGCCCTTACTTTTTCAGCAAATCGTCGCGTCTCTCAGCATTATAACTTTCCCTTTTTATTTTTTATCTTTCTACAGAAGTACACTTTGGTAAACGACCGACGAGGGAAAAATGTATGCTACAATGTCAGCGTGTTCGAGTGCACCCCAGGGTACCGAACTGGGCCCGGTACTCGCAAAATTGGTTTCGGTTCAGCCGAATATGTTAAACAAACTTGTTTTTATTCTAAACACCTGCTAAAACTGAATGAAGTCGTTAGTCCATCAATTTTAAGCTGGATCTTAATTGATCGAGGAATCCCAAATGATTTTAGGGAAACTCTTGTGTCTGTACCGCGTAGTGTACGATTTTCCTGAAAAAATAATGATTGAAACAGGCTTTTTAAATTTCCCCAGTTTATGTTTAATGAGTTAAGGGGTTAAGGACCCGCTCAGTTTTAATCGTTTAATCCCAAAAATGTCCGAAGCAACGTCGCCCATACATATGGGATGAGTAATGAATTTTTATAGGTCCGTTTAATCGACACTTCTGAGCCATTTTTTTAAGCAGTGTGGGTGTATGGATATTTTAATAGGCTCTCGAATTGAAGAGCGTCTTTTGTTCCGTGTACAAGCCAATAAATAAACAAAAACTAATTGATTAAATCTCCGCGGAAGCCTCAAAACTTAGAAGACAACATTTGCGACATAATAAGACATGAATCCGAAATAAAAAAAAATCGTACACCCCCAAAAAACAACCCCTAGCGCTAAAAAAAAACAGTGTAAAAATGACGCTTCACGAATAGTCTTAAATCTCAATAATCCTAATTAAATATAAACATTCAAGTATATAACGCATAAATACAGAGTTCATTGAAAATCACCCCCATGAGTGGTTGAAAACTACCCCCTCACAGAACAGAGAATTAAAAAAAAACTACAGTGGTTGCAAAAAAAGCTTACGATGGCCGGTTATTTTAGAAACAGCATGTAACTGCATTAGTCTCTATGCGATGCTCAAAAACTACCCCCATAGAGTCGTGGAAACCACCCCTAACTTTATATTACAGTTGCTTAAACGACTCCTAAAAAAGAATTCTCTGAAAATAATATTACTTATTGATATGGCCTCTAAAAATCCTCAAAAAATTCAGAAAAAACATCTATATAATTTTCTGATTATATAGTTTCTTGACCAGCAGGTAGGTGGCGCATTGACAACTGCATCGAGTGTTGAGAGTCTGGGGATTTGGTATACGTCAAGTTTGGGCTCTTTATTGGGGCGTTCATTGTTCTGTTATTATGCGTTATATGATTATTGAGATTTAAGACTATTCGTGAAGCGTTAAGTCATTTTCCCTGTTTAGGGAGTGTTTTTTAGCGGTAGGGGTTGATTTTGGGGGTGTACGATTTTTTTGACTTCGGATTCGGATTCAGCGTCGAAAATTACGTAGGGATACAGTTGTCTCGATAGCAGTTCCATTTTTTTTTCCACCTTTCGGCTTATTCGTGGAAAGGTCCTTATTACCGTTTATAAATTACCACTCGAGGCCCGGAAATAAATCCCCATTAACCTCTCGACTCCCCCGACTCCCCCCTCATTCATCTGCTCCCGGTTATTCCCGCTTTGTGATAAATCTAATTGAACGGCAGATACCGGGTGGCTCAAAAATATCAAATAATGACTTTAACTTTGTTATTTTCAAAGTTAAAAAAAAGTTCGATATAAAAGTTATTTTGTTCATTACCATGTATGTTTTAAGTTTTTTTAGTTTGTTGATATCTTCTTTTGTTTTGTTCCTATGGCAACCATTTTTTTTTAAATGGACCCATACTTTTTTTTTCGTTATGAAAAAAGCATATTTTTCTCTATTCAGCCACAAAATTTTGCAATTTTTGAAAAAAAATAAGCGAGAAAAAATTATTTATTACTATTCACTTACAATTAATTAATTTCACAAAACTAAAATTTAGATCAAATTAAATTTAAAGAATAACAAAGGTAGGTAGACTAAATACTAAAAAACAGCAATACTAAATCAGATGTTCAAACTGAGCTCCGCTGCCCACAGATTTACTTTTTGCGGATATTGTGTGTGTGCTTCTTGCACCCAGTGTGGGTTCGCTCTCGCTCAATACCGACAATTATGTCAATTTAATGTGCCGTTTAGCATAAAGGTCGCTTCATCTGAGAATACAATATTTGAAGCAAAATTCTCATCTGCATTACATCGTTCCATCGTGTACTCACAGAAATCCATCCGTCTATCAAAATCATCTTCATTGAATTCATGTATTAATTGAAGCTTATAAGGATGATGTGGATATGTTGGATATGTCAAACAAAAACCTTGCTTTAAACCGACAATAATTATTTATTCTTTGTTTGTATTAATTAAAATATCAAATTTACATGGCATTCTTTAGCAAAAGTAATGTTTCTGTTTTAAAACTGCATGATTTTTTTCTTTATTAGAGGTGACGAGTGAATCGTAATAAATAATTTTTTTCTCGCTTATTTTTTTTTTCAAAAATTGCAAAATTTTGCGACTGAATAGAGGAAAATAACGAAAAAAAAAGTATGGGTGCCATTTAAAAAAAAAATTGGTTGCCAAAGGAACAAAACAAAAGAAGATATCAACAAACTCAAAAACTTAAAACATACATGGTAATGAAGGGACTCGATTGCTAAATACTCGCCTATTTGCGTGTCAATTAGACATGATGCTACTTCCGGCCGTTGCGACCCCACTCGAAGCTTGTACAGGTTCAATTGCGTGGTTGAAAGTGGGCTAAGGATCCTCCTTCCTTTCGACCACCTGGAAGCTTTTACATGAAGGTCACAGTAGGTGGATTAAACATATTTACGTTTGGTTTATTTTTTTACAGCCCTCCGGAGAATGGACACCCTGTACACGGCACGCCTGCACGGCTTCCCCAACCTCAGCAAGGCGGGCGTGGAGCCAGCACTCACCGAGGAGAGCATCCTCTCGCTGCTCATCGTCCTGGGCAGCAGCATCTCCCTGGTGGCGCTGGTCTTCGCCTTCATCACGTACAGGTCAGTTACGCACGCTTTTCTAACCTTTTTTCCAGTACCTCGTCGTACTTACCGTTCAAATTCCAAAATAGAACGTGGCGTTCCGCATGGGTCTGTCTCGGGGCCCCTTTCGCGTTGGCTGTCTATTAACGACTTGTCAGCGTCCGTTAAAGGAATATTTTATTGACTTTCCGCCGTTGGCCACCTGAAATCGCCTTTTAAATAGGTAGCGTAATTCCAGTTGTTTCTTTTTTCTGGAATATACTGTCAAATAAAAGGTGTATAACTCACTACCTCTCGAAATACTCACTACCAAACGAA